ACCAGAGGGTTTCAGTGTCCTCTGATGGTTCTTCTTCAGTTCCTATTGCTTTCACTATAAGCTCCTGGTATCTAGCCTTAATATCTATATATATGAAATGTGTGGAAGATGTGGAGACCGACCTCTACTACGATATAAAGATGTGTGCAAACGGGACATGAACGATACAGGTGGCAAGGTGGACTCGTGTGAACAAAAACCCATTGACCCTGTTTTGCGGAGAAGGGCACATCACGACGGGAATGAGAATGATTGAAGAAAATACTGGAGAAAGGATGAGAGCTGAGCGAAGAAGAGAAGAAACACGTTGAATACAAATGTTTGACAACAACGGTCCTGAAATTCCATGCTATAATTGTAGAAGTCTTTTCTTAACGCAAGCGGGTCTTGCTAGTCACACTCGACATCGCCATGGGCCAGGAATCCCATGCCTATTCATAACACAATGTGACACTATCGTCTGGAAAGATGGATATATGAAAAAGGGTGCTTTATTAATATCCTACCCCAAACCGGGGAAATCTATAGGTCTCGGGACAGTCTAATATTTCAGGGGGTGGTAGATAGGCTGCACTCTCTCGTGGGACGTAGGTGGGTTGGGGTTAAGGCCAGTTCTAGATGTTTTGGGGTCTTTAAAAGCATAATAAAGCCTGGAAACTCCGCCTCACCACCCTCTAAAATGTTGGACTGTCCTGTGACGTCATCTGGGGGGGGGGGGGGGTTGAATAATTATTTTAAAAAACCTGAAAATGTTACGAAGTGATGAGTATGTAACAAGAAAAATGCATTTACAACCGACAGAGAAAATGTTACTGACTTGGAAAACGCTTTCAACTTTTCGTACTGGATGTCGATGTAACGTTTAAACTCCGTCAGAAGGTGTTCCTCTTCCATCACCATCCTTTCCACTTTTAGCGAGGAGGTAAATATCTCCGCATTCACTGCTGTTGTCGTGACAACGACAACAACAAAGGCGACCAAAAGGGTTTGAGAATACATATCCTGAAACTGCATAATTTGGAAATAATTCAATGTTTATAGGGCTATAAAATTGCAAACTATGAACAAAGAAAACAATTTGTAAAAACGAATTAAATCTAAATAAATAAAGTAAATAATAATACGAACTAAGGGAGTGAAAGAAAAATCAAAAGAAAAAAAAAACTGATAGGCTGGGAGGGGTTTAGGGAAGTGGGGGGGGGGGGGAAGAAGGAAGAAAACAAAAGATTTTATCACATAAATAAGGAAACGAACAAGCACACTGAGAAAAACTAACAGAAATTAAATGTAACAAAGAATGAACAAATGCGGGGAACAGAGAAAAAGGGTAGAGAGAAGGACAGAAAGAAAAATAAAGACGAAAGAGAGAGAGAGAGAGAGAGAGAGAGAGAGAGAGAGAGAGAGAGAGAGAGAGAGAGAGAGAGAGAGAGAGAGAGAGAGAGAGAGAGAGAGGGAGGGGGAGAGATAGATATTGCCAAATAAAGCAGCCAAGAAAAGTTTTGGATCTGAAATAACAAAAAATTTCTCTCCAAAATTAGAGCCTTGTAAACGACCATCCATGTTCAGTGTCGTTTTTATTTATGTCAACCCTTTTTCTACTTACCTTCGTCGTCCTGCTGTACATTTATAGACCTTAATAAATATTAGCCTATTGAAGAATAAACAATCCACGTTTGTTTTGTTGTGTCTCAGAGACATTAATTTGTGCAGCTAATCCCAGGATACGGACAAACAAACAAGACAAGCTGAGGGGTCACATTTGTTATTTCCTGTCACTGCAGGTGTGAGAGATGTGTGGGGATGTGTTGTGTGAATTTGTTTGCGTTTATATTTCTTCCTGTCAGGTGATCCTTCTTCATTTTCTTTCTCTGCACCTTCTGCCCAGAGTCTTTACCTTCTAAACGTCCATGTCGTGTGGTGGTGATAGTCGCATTAGACAGACATAGTTAGACAGATAAGCAGACGGACAGATCGCAGACATAAAGGCAGACAAAGGAAGACAGGCAGGCAGCCAGGCAGACACACATAGGAAGGCAGGCTGACAGGCAGGTAGATAGACAGACGCAGGAAAACAGATTGTTAAACAACAGGCAGTGTGAACCGACCAACCGACAGACAGACATGCCTTCCTATGTCTGTGTGCCTGGCTGCCTGCCTGTCTGTCCGTCTTCCCATGTCTGCCTGTATAGGAAGGCAGACTGACAGGTAGGCAGATCGACAGACATACAGACAGACAAAGGAATATACAGTCGACAGTCAAACAATAGGCAGGCAGAACGACCAACAGACAGACAGACAGACAGGACAGGACAGGACAGGACAGGACAGGACAGACAGACAGACAGACAGACAGACAGACAGACAGACAGACAGACAGACAGACAGACAGACAGACAGACAGACAGACGGACGGACGGACGGACGGACGGACCGACGGACCGACGGACAGACCGACAGACCGACAGATAGATATAGATAGATAGATAGATAGATAGATAGATAGATAGATAGATAGATAGATAGATAGATAGATAGATAGATAGATAGATAGATAGATATAGATAGATAGATAGATAGATAGATAGATAGATAGATAGATAGATAGATAGATAGATAGATAGAGATAGATAGATAGATAGATAGATAGATAGATAGATAGATAGATAGATAGATAGATAGATAGATAGATAGATAGATAGATAGATAGATAGATAGATAGATAGATAGATAGATAGATAGATAGATAGATAGATAGATAGATAGATAGATAGATAGATAGATAGATAGATAGATAGATAGATAGATAGATAGATAGATAGATAGATAGATAGATAGATAGATAGATAGATAGATAGATAGATAGATAGATAGATAGATAGATAGATAGATAGTAGGTAGGTAGGTAGGTAGGTAGGTAGGTAGGTAGGTAGGTAGGTAGGTAGGTAGGTAGGTAGGTAGGTAGGTAGGTAGGTAGGTAGGTAGGTAGGTAGGTAGGTAGGTAGGTAGGTAGGTAGGTAGGTAGGTAGGTAGGTAGGTAGGTAGGTAGGTAGGTAGGTAGGTAGGTAGGTAGGTAGGTAGGTAGGTAGGTAGGTAGGTAGGTAGGTAGGTAGGTAGGTAGGTAGGTAGGTAGGTAGGTAGGTAGGTAGGTAGGTAGGTAGGTAGGTAGGTAGGTAGGTAGGTAGGTAGTAGGTAGGTAGGTAGATAGATAGATAGATAGATAGATAGATAGATAGATAGATAGATAGATAGATAGATAGATAGATAGATAGATAGATAGATAGATAGATAGATAGATAGATAGATAGATAGATAGATAGATAGATAGATAGATAGATAGATAGATAGATAGATAGAGATAGATAGATAGATAGATAGATAGATAGATAGATAGATAGATAGATAGATAGATAGATAGATAGATAGATAGATAGATAGATAGATAGATAGATAGATAGATAGATAGATAGATAGATAGATAGATAGATAGATAGATAGATAGATAGATAGATAGATAGATAGATAGATAGATAGATAGATAGATAGATAGATAGATAGATAGATAGATAGATAGATAGATAGATAGATAGATAGATAGATAGATAGATAGATAGATAGATAGATAGATAGATAGATAGATAGATAGATAGATAGATAGATAGATAGATAGATAGATAGATAGATAGATAGATAGATAGATAGATAGATAGATAGATAGATAGATAGACAAGATCGTAAAAAGAAAGAGTTAAGAAATATCTCCAGTGCCTTCAAAGTCTCCTAACCTCAGACACAAATCTTCAGTATTTGAAGGTAGGCGCCTATTGTGTCACAATTTGTATAATTTCTTGGCCAGATAAAACTTGTAAGTCTGATGTTTCAAGAGAGGCGAGGGTCTGACTCAGTTTATCGCAAACAATAGATAGAGGCAGTCGTCATTTTCGGCCAGGTTATCAAAAGAAAATGTAATATGTTGTGACAACTTAAAGTATTTGTGGAAAGCAAGACAGAGGAAGACAGGACGAGATGATTCTTGACAACCTTTTTGTCATGTCACTGTTGGAGATCGCGAGACATGGGAAAGCAGTGCACACGTACATCGATAAGGCGATGGTGATGCTGATGATGATGATGATGATGATGATGATGATCTTAAATGAAGAAGGATAACACCTTCAACAACTTGCAACATTAAAAAAAAAATAAAACCACATACACAATATAATTGTAGCAACTGTGAGACAGACATACAGGGATAATTAGCTTTACGAAATGCAGGACACATTAGCAAAACCCACATTTTCCGGGCGAAGAGGTATATTTAAATACATTATCATCCAACTGCCTTGTTGAGCACGTTTTCGCAGTGACGTTTTACAGCTGAATGTATGCTGAAATTGTCGGTAGAAATAAAATCAGCTCAGTGTGACATATTCTATTCAGAACGATGTCAGCATTGTCGCATCATTATCAGTATGTGTCGTGTCGATAAGAGGAGGTAGTTTTTGAAATTAATCTACTGAACTTTGGCCTGAAAGCCGAAATAGGGAAAGGGATTTCAACATACGCATTCAACACAAACGGCGTTTCAGCAGTAGCCTTTTTCGACATAAACCCTAACAGCCACAACAAAGGTGCAAATTATCCTGGTCGTCAGTCCTATCCCAGGAGGGTCAACTGAATACCTATAAAATGTAGGAAAAGGAAAAGGTGTGGAGCGAATGATAGAAGTAAAGGAGCGAAGTAAGTAAAAAGTAAAGATCCCTTTCATGCCTTTAGGCGTATCGGGCATATGGGAAGAGCGCCCATATTTTTACAGACCATCAGCACTCTGTGGGTAATGTGGTCATTACGCCGGCTGTCTTTACCAGGACATCCATCCTGGTACCCATTTGAGACTGGGTCGACCTGCGACGTCCCATACCACGATAAAAATCCACGCAGCCCGCAGTGGATCGCGGTACGTTGGATTACGAGTCGGACTCGCAACGCCTTAGCCACGGACGCCGCAAGTAGTAATAATAAAACAGGAATAGTAGGAGCAATGCTCGTAGTAAAGTAAAAATAAAGGAACTTTTTCCACCCCTTAAAGGCGTATTAGGTATAGCTAGACCTATATTTTATAGACCAAATGGCACTAGGTAGGTGATGTGGTCAGCTTCACGCCGGCCGCCTTTACTTCCCAGGACTGTACCTCGTACTCACTCAAGGCTGGCTCAACCTGAGAACCTTCCGATCCGCAGGCGAGCGTCTAGCCACTAGACCACGACGACTCCTTAACAATAGTAGTAGTGGTAGAGAGAAATAGTAACAATGAAGACGATCATGATAATAATAATCGTAGCAGGAACAAAATATTAATGATTCATAAACAGTAACAATAGCAGATAGAATAAACTGAAAAAAAAAAAATACAAAATAAATAAAAACCAGAATATTATTGTTTAGAATTTTAGATAAATGTTTTCCATACATTGGGAGTCGCCGTGGTGAAACGGTTAGACACTCGCCTTCGGGTCGGAAGGTCGTGAGTTCGAGTCCTGAAGGAGCTCGAGTTCATTTTTTTTTCGAAAATGACCTTGGTTTCCCAGCCCTGAATTTTTACCTTGGTGTAGAGTCTTGGAAAGTAAAGGCGGCCCGCGTGATGCTGACTATATCACCCGCTAAGTATCGATCGGTCTATACAAATATAGATCTAGCCCTATATGCCCAATACGTATAATGGTGTGGAAAAGGGTCCTTTACTTTACATTGATACCTGCTGGCCACAACATGTAAACTAGGACAAAGTTTTGTGGTCGTGATCATTTACGGTCACCATGATCACAGATCCAGTCTGTGTTCTTTTCCCCACCGATCTATGTGGATTAATCACCCAAGTATTCATCTAGTTGTTTATTCCCAAATATGGGACGCGATATTTCGTTTTTTTTTCACAGCTTTACTCCGGCACTTTGTGTCACCGGGTTTTGACCGCTCGGCGTGTGGGCCTGGTGGGGTTGGGCTTCATTCATTCA